TCATCCTCATCATCAGCGTCATCAGCAGCAACATCATCAAGTTCATCACCGTCCTAATCCTTCACTTCCTCATCCGAGGGGCTTGAGAGTTCAATCGATCCCATGGTGCTGCCGATTATCTAGTCAAGCCTCTCGTCTTTGCTCCGCGGGATTCGGGCCAGCTGGTCGAAGCACCAGTAGCGGACAATTTGGCTCTCATGTAGGGAATATGGTGGTCCCAGGTCCGCCTTCACAACCATGGCCTGGTGGCCAGTCCCGAGTGCACCATGTGTGGGGACCAGGACGGGTCCATATGGCATCGATGCTGCGCATGTGACGACCACGCGGCTCGGCACGTGTCAAGCTGGCCAGCTGCCAGAAGTAGACGGGCCAGTGCTTGGAGCTTCCACCGCATGATGTGCAGTCCATGTTTTGGCACCAGCGGCCCGATGCGGGCCTCCTCTCGGGGACACGGCTCTTGCACGAGATGGCGGTGTTGTCCCTGGGACGCTGCGTTCCAGGGATGGGTGGTCCGTCGTGATGTGTGATCGGTTCGGGGATGCTCTGTCTGCGGCGAGAACTCGGAAACGCCCTGTTTGCCTCCAGGGTGCCCTGGGTTTCTTGGTTTCTTGGGTTTCGATGGTTCTGCTGTGGACAGCGCGAAATCCCCACGCCAAAAAACAGGGGACGTCCTGTGGTCTCGGGGTCGTTTTTTTTGTGTGGAAGGCTTCTTCTGAACTGGCATCCACTGTAAGTGGCCGCGCGACCCTCAGGAAGAAGAAGGGGAATGATGCAGCCGACGAGTCTGCGAATCGGGGGGCCTCCCGTCACGGAGCCACGGTCGAGGCCAACAGTGGCCAGAGAGGCGGGGCAGCGGAGCGGCGAGTCGCGCGCTCTCGCTCGGCGGCGAGCGAAGGGGGGGAAGGGAGCAGGAGAGGGCCTTTCTCGGAAGGCCGGGAAGATCCCCCCGCCTTCCGAGAAGTGCTCGGAGCCTTCCCCGAAGACGAAACCAAACTTCTCAGATGGCCCGAGAAGCGGGGAGGTGGAGCGGCGAATTGCACGCGCTCGTGGGGGACGGCGTGGCGGCTTGGGATCGTGCCTGTGGTGCCGCACCTGCGAGTGCAAAGATTATGCACCACCACCACCTTCATCCCCCCTCCCCTCCAGCCTCTTCTTCCTCTCCTCCTTTCCTGGGAGGAGGGAGAGGGTGATGGAGGCGGCAGTGGTATACAGTTGTGGGCCCCGTAGTACAAGGGCCAGCGCGAGGCAACCGAAGCCTCCGAGCAGGCCATGAAAATGACGAGACCCAGTCTGAAATTGGACGCGATCTCCCGCTGCCGACGCCCCGCAAAAACTGGACCGCCAAGATCTGGGACGCGCTCGCCAAAAAACGCAGGCAGACTCGAGTCCCGGCGCACTCGAGTCTCACGTTTCCCCAACCTCGCCTCGGAGTCCAGTCGGTGTCGATGCTGCCCACCCCAAACTTCGAACAAAGACCCGCGCGTCCTCGACCGCCCGCAGGCCCTCTGCCCGCGGGCTCCCCATGGCGGCCGCGGTGCCCCGAGGCGAGCGTCCAAGCAGCGTGCACCCCACCGCTCCTGGCCGCGGCAAGGACGGCTGGCGGTCTGCTCGTGCTCCTGGGCGTGCGCGCAAGGGCACTCACGCACTGCCACGTCGCGTGCACGGGGTCGACGTTCGAGTCCATCGAGCGGGGACCGACCGCCCCAGCATTCTTATAGGCCTACCACGACATGCTCTCAGGCCCCCAAGATGCTCCAAGAGCGAGCACGATGCTCTTAGAACATGAGCCCGATGTGCTAAAGCAGGACAACCTCAGCCAGAAATGATCTGAGAACATGTCGCGAAAACCTCAAAAATTCTTAAGAAATTCTTTGGTGGGCCTGCACGCAAGCCAATTCTTCGCCGCCGCTTGAGCCCAGGTCACGTGCTTGCCTTTCGGCGCGGCCGCCGGCCAGAATCACCACCCTTCCCCTCTTCCTTTACCACCACGACGCGGCAGTGCCTGAGCGCTGCTGTAGCCGTGCTACAGTTGTTCGACTGATCCCACCAGCCCTCTGGGTGCAGGTGGCTTAACGAACTTGCGTCTTCTCTCTGCTAAAATCCCTCCTTTCCCTGCTCGGGGGAGGGGTTTATCGCTGTTCCCGAATAGTAAGCACTCCCTCCGCCAAGCGACCGGCAGCCAACCAGGACAAATGACCCCCCGCCACCACCATCCCTGTCAAAGAACAATACAACATTCACTTCGGGCAACGTCTTGGGTCGTGCTCGTGGGCCCCGCGGGCACTTTGCCTTGTCTTTTGCCAGGGGCGGCGGGGGGGGTATCAGACTGCCTGATGCGCGCAGAGCCACCATCCGCATCGAAAAACAATTCACAGCGCACATCGCGGCTAAATGTGGATCGTGCGCGGCCACCCCGCGGTCACTTTGCATTGGTTTTTGACAAGGACGCCGGGTGTGCTGGCATATCGCCTGCCGCGCGCAGGCCCAACAGACACCATGATGGCCAACCCGCAGAGATTGCGCACTGATGTTCGACAGTGGCGGTGGGGCCGACATGTTTCCCGATGTGTGCTGTCTCGTGCGTGGGCGCACCTGGCACACTCTGCGCGTGCCCCGAACATGGCGCACCTGGCGCGGCTGGAGCATGCGGCATACATGGCGCACGTGGGGCACGTGGCGCACCTGACGCGCCAGGCGTGCCTGGCACGGTCGGGGGCCTAGGGATGCCTGGCGCACCTGGCGCGCGTGGCGGCCCTGGCACACGTGGCGCGCCTCGCCCCACCATCGCACACATGGGGTCTGTCTTTGATTCCCAGTAGCTGCCCATAGACGACCGCTGAACGCGCTGAGGCTCGGGTGCGACGTATGTGCTGGGAGGGCGGGTGGGAGTGAGCGAGACAGCTTGGCGGGCGGGAAAGGTATCTTGACCCCTCCCTCTACCCCCGCACCTGCGCCTGTAAGGAGGGGGGGCCTGTCAGAGGGTGCTTTTTGGTCCCATATGGCTCCAAGAGGGCTCCGCGAATCCAAGATGGTCTCCAAGGTGGGCCCAAACACCTCAAGATGGTTCAAGATAGCCTCCGACGCACATCCATGACGCCTCACGATGGCCCCAGACGGTTTCTAGTACCCGCCGAGCCCTCCAATGACCCCCACCAAGATGCCAAAACGGTTCCGAGTCCCAGAGCAAATCAATGTAATGTGCCTCCTCGCTTGTTTTCTTACGATGGGGTCTTGAGGTCCCAAGATGGCCCCAAGGCATCCTCAGAGAGGCCCAGAGCCCCACGAGGGCCCCAAGAGCGCCCAAGAGCTGCCCAAGAGGGCCCGTCCCGCGATGTGTCGGAGGCTCCTTCTTCGGCCCTTGGGAGGGCCATTTATTGCCACCCCTCGCGAGGGTCGTGGCCCCCGAGTGGGGGGAGGGGGGGGGGGCACATCGAGTCTCCCCCCTCGTTTCACCGACCGCTTCCAAGATGGCCCCAGGAGACCCTCCAGGGCTCCCCAGAGGCCCCCTAGAGGGTTCCACGAGCGCCCCAAGAGGCCCCAAGAAGGCTCCAAGAGGCCCCCGAGGGGCCCCGAAGAGGCCCCCGAGCGGCCCCCGAGGGTCCAAGATGACCTCCAAAATGGCTCAGATAGCCCAAGCTGGCTGCTCGAGATGGCGCCCAAGATGCTCCAAGCGGCCCCAAGACCGCTCCAAGACGGCTCGAGATGGCCACGGAGCCTCCCAAGCCCCCCTCATTGTTTGACTATGTGTGCCTCTTCCTCGTTTCTGGCTGGTGGGGACACTTTTTGGTCGGCGGCTCCAAGGCAACGGACAGGGAGCGGAAGCGGCGTCTGGGTCACGGTACGGGGCTAATTGCAAGACAATTCGCCGCCAGCCGGAGTCGGCAGAAAACTGGTGGGGATACTTTTTTGGTCTGCGGCCGCGCGACAACGGTCTGGCGGCGAAGGGCAATGTCCGGGGCTGGCGGCACAAAGCGAATTGCACAACAAGCGTGCAGATGCACATGCACTGAACAAAATGCTCTGCATTCACCAGCAGACGCACCTAAAACTGGTGGGGATACGCGAAGCGTCAAAAATTCAGGACCCCGCCTCTTTTGAGCCATGGCCTCCCAGACCCATCCAATGAGCCCCAAGAGGGCCCGGACACCCCAAAACCAACCCCAAGAGGGCCACAAGAGTGCTCCAAGAGGGCCCATGGGGACCCCAAGAAAGCCCATAAGATGGCCTTAGTGGTCCTTCAATAACCCCTCAAGACAACACATCTCCAAAGACCGGCTTCTCGTCCTCCTTGGAATCGTCCGTTCTTTCCGTCCTCCATTCCTGCCTCCTCCATCCTCCTCCAACTCCTCATCTTCCTCGTTCCGCATTCCTCCTCATCCTCCTATTATTCTCCCTCATCCTCCTCCTACTTCTCCTCCTCTTCCTCCTCCTACCCCCAAGATGGTCCCAGGGGGTCGAACATGACTCAAGATAGCCTCCAACAGACCTCCGCAAGGCCTTAAGACAGCCTCAAGATGGCCCAATCTAGCTGAGCGTGGCTCAAGGTAGTCTCCGACAGCCTCTAGCCGAGCATGGCTCAAGATAGCCTCCAAGAGGCCTCAAGAAAGCCTCCGATCGTGTCTGGATGGGCTGGTGGGGATACAATTTTGATCTGCGGCCCAAAGGACGGTTCCAGAGGGCGGGTCAAGCTGGTGGGGATACGCGGCGCGTCAAGGAATTTACAAACAACCCGAACACCAAAGTTCCTCAGAGCACTCCATCCAACCTTGGGGGTGCCTGGCTGTTGCGCAGGACTTCTTCGTTCGTTCGAGTGCAGGCCGTGTGTTTGCCATTCGGCGCGGCCGCCGCGCTGAAACCCCTCCACCCTGTCCCTCTTCCTTCACATCAGATAAGAAGGCAGACAGACCCAGACCCCCGACGTCGTGATTTTTGTCACAGCGTCGACCCCCAGAGGTCTCGACCCCTTCCCCGGGACCGGTTTGGCATCCTGAATCGTTTTTTGACGGTCCCGAGGCCCGGGAAGGGCCCCCAGAGGCCGCAAAATGACGCGAGGAGGTCTGGGAAGGCAGACAGCCGACGAAGAGCGCGAGACGCGGCAGCAGGGCGGAACCACCCTGCGGCGCGAATCGCCCAAATGGCTTCGAGACGAGGCGCGTGCCGCAGCCTCTGGGCCGGCGTCGGGGGGAAGAGAGCAATTAACGAGAGTTCAAAGTGGGCGCGGCACGAGCGACGCATTAAATAGAGGGCAGAAAATCCACCCCGATAGCAACCACCCCGACACGCGAAGCCGTTTAGTAAACGTACACAAAGAAGGAATCAAACAGGGCAGGGCTGTTTAAGAAACGCCCAGGGACCTTTAGTAGATGCCAATTGTCCGGCCCGGGTGGTTTTTCCTCCCTTGATTAAACAGTCCGAGTGCGGGCAGGATGTGTATCCATACCCGCTGCGACTTGGAGTCTCGGGCTCCCCTATTCCCGGAAGCCCGCTGCGCAGCGCGTATGCGCACAGACCTGGCCCTTCTTTTTGGGGGGGCCAGGCTCTCGGCCCTGTGGCGCCCCTTCCCAGAAAGTCCAAGACGCAGGTGCGGGCAAGATTCATGCCCATATCCAGTGCCTCTTGGACTTTTTGGGAAGCGGCGCCACAAGGCCGAGGCGCACTGGGTATGGATAAAATCGAGCCTCTAGGGGGCAAATTTATCCATATCCAGTGCGTCTCGGGTTTCTTGGGAAGGGAGCCCGAAACTCCATACTGCAGTGGATATGGACAGAACCTGCCCGCACGGAGGGTGGCCACGCGCTCTGCCCGAGCGGCACCGGAGGAGGAGCTAAAGCGGCCGCAGGGCCCAGAGGGGAGGCTGGACGGGCACCTGCGGAGGCTGCCCTTCACTCCAGCAAGCTCGACTGCAAATCGGTTCGGCCTTCGCCTCCTGGACCATCCCTCCTCACCCTCATCCTGGGGTGAATGAATGAAGAGCGAGGGGTGATGATGAGAAGCGGAAGCAAAAGGAACTGACGAGAGGAGGATGGAGGAGGGGGAATAAGCGAGCCATCGCCATGGAAGAACGAAGAGGACGACGAGGCAGGAAGAAGAAGGCGAGAGAGAAGGAAAGGGAGAGGACAAGGAGCGAGGTCGAGTAGAGATAAAGAAGAGGGAGAACAGGAGGAGGAGCAGAACGAAGGAACGAGGAGCGATGGAACAATCCGACTGGCAGTTCGCTGGCAAAGGCACCCCCACCAACTGCCGCCCCACACGCAGGGTTTTTTGCGTATTGCGCCCCTGCTTGGGTTGACATGCTAAAACGCCTAGAATTCCCATCTCTGTCGCTTGTGTGTTCTGGCCCCAGCGAACAGTGCTGCCAAAAACTAAGTAGCCCGATCTAGCGCACTAATCTCTCGGTGGAAGACGGAACGAGCCGGATTGATCTGCTGCCCAGCGAACCCGTCGATAGTGGACTTGAATTCGCCTCCGGCCGCGTTCACAATCAAGATGACCATGCCGGTAGCCCCGCTCCCGCCCTGCATACCTCCATCCATGAAAATCTGCACGCCCACGCAATTGGAAATCTGCTCCTGGAGACGCTCGGCGTCCAAACTGTGGAAGTAGGTGCCGTGCTGCAGCACGTACTTGGCGACGTGGTCTGCTGCTTTGTTGCATTCTCGCGGCCGCCAATCCACTGGCTCAAGAAACTCACTTTTATAATCGATGTGGTCCCCGAACAGACGCCTCATTCTTGACAGGATTCGGTCGAGAGCTGGGCGGTAAAAATCATTATGCACGCTGGTCGTTACATTGGCAATTCGTGCTAAGGTTTCTTCGTCCACCACGCACTCTAGCTGAGGACGAGACATGCCTTCCTTCCAGAGCGAATCGCGCCTCAATACCACAAGATCGGGAATGCACTCAATGGTCGGTTTGGGAGATTTTCTTGGGCGTCTCTGCCTGGTCACCGCGCGTCACGGCAGCAGGCGACGGCAAGCCCAGAGCTACGCAAGCATGATGTACCAACTCTGTTTTCCCTTCCGTCCATTGCGTCCACGCAGGTTTTCTCCAATAATTACCGATGCTAGACAAAGCCCAGACTCTCCTCCTCCTCCTCCGCCTCCTCCGCCTCCTCCTCCTCCTCCCGCCCTCCCTCCCTCCCTCCCTCCGCCCGAGCCCTCCCTCCCTCCCTCCCTCCCTCCCTGTGCCCGATCCCTTCCTCCCTCCCTCCCTCCCGCCCTCCCCCTCCCACTCTGCCCTCCGCGAGGAGCCCCTGAGAGCGCCAAGGAGCGCGACGACAACGACGACGACGACGACGACGACGACGACGACGACGACGACGACGACGACGACGACGACGACGGCGCCAAGGAGCGCGACGCCCGGCGAGGGCGCGCAGCCGCGCGCGGCTGCGCGGCGTCCTCTGGCAGGGCGGCGACCGCAAGGCCGAAAGAGGCGCGCGGCCCCGCAGCCGCACGCGCGGCCCTCGCGCAGCAGCTTCGCTGCGGCGGGGCGCGGGAAGGGCACGGGGCAGCGAGCAGAAGGAGCACCGAAGGGGGGAGCGAGGGGGAGGAGGGAGGAGGAGGGATGGGGAAACCACAGGAGGAGGAGGAACAACAAGGTGCGATAGTGATGGTGATGATGACGACGATGATGATGATGATGCTGATGATGCTGCTGCTGCTGATGATGCTGCTGATGATGATGATGTTGATGATGATGATGCTGATGCTGCTGATGCTGCTACTGATGATGATGATGATGATGATGATGATGATGATGATGATGATGATGATGATGCTGATGCTGATGATGATGATGATGATGATGATGATGATGATGATGATGATGATGATGATGATGATGATGATGATGATGATGATGATACGGATGAGTATGATGCCGATGGTGCTGATAATGCTGATGCTGATGATGCTGATGATGCTGATGATGATGAGGAGGAGGAAGGAAGACAAGGAGGATGGGGTCAGGAGGAGGAGGAGGAGGAGGCCGAAAATGATGCCAGCGCCTTCAGCGGGAACAACAGTTTGAAAAAACCCAAGCGAAAATCTAGTTCCCAGGAACCCTGTGTGTAAGAACAGCACGCGGAGGGGGGCAGAATACCTTCCGGACGTCATCAGGGGAGATTGGGGAGTAGTATTCAGATGGTGTAATTGTGGAGGAGGGGCTGGGCATGATTATCCACACGTGTACTAGAGTCCTCACGACACCGATCGGAGTCAGCGAGCCCCTCATCCCGACGGCCTCAATTCTCCAAGGGTGCGGACAAAGCGTGTCCTGGACCAGGGCCCTCCTGTACGACGTCCTCGAGTTGGCCCATCACCAGATCCCAAGGCCCACGATCCGAACCTGGGTTGACGACATCAGGGTCCGTCTCGTGGGGAGCCCAGAGGCCCTGAAAGAAGCCTTCCCAGAGCTTATCATGCAGTTATGTGGAGGACTCGCTGACCTAGGATGCCGTCTCTCTGGTAAGTCTGTGGTCCTGGCCAGCTCCAACGACATTCGCACCACGCTCGTCAATAAACTCAACCAAGCAGGGATCCAGATCCGACCCGTCCAGCATGCTCGGGACCTGGGGGTCGACACCACGATCGGGAAGAAAAGGGTCCTGGGAGTCCGCCGAACCCGTCGTCGTCTCGGAGTGCAAAGACACAAGAACATCAACAAGCTGGCCAAGACCACAACCAAGGCGCGATCCCTTTTCCGCACAAGCGCCCCAGCTGCATGGAGGGACACGGATCAGCACCGACCGAAGTCCAGTATTTCCGCCGATTGGCGGGAGCGGCACATGGAGTATCTAAAGCAGGGGCCTGCCTCACCACTGGCCTCCACACCCGTCCAGGACACCCATCTAACATGGATCCAGGGATCTATCTTCGGGTCCAGCTGTTCACGATGTGGTTTCGGGTTATCAATACCGAACTCAGCATCCTCGGAGGCATCCAGAAGGCTTGGGAGACTCTGAAGGAGAAGCTCAAGAGACCATCAAGGTGGCTCATGGTCAGGTCCCACTTGTCCGCGATCATCGCCACCCTGTACGACCTAGGCTGGACCCCAACCTCGGCATGGCTCTGGAGGGACCCCGAGGGCCTAGAGTTCCCCGTCAAGCCGCTGAGCTGGGACAAGCAGATGGTTTTCATGTTTCACTTGGAGTTCCTCTTGGACATGCATGTCTGGAAAGCGACATACCCCCTCAGCCACAACTCTGGAGGCCTTCAGGAGGGGGGGACGTGTACTCTCTACGGCTCTACCCTGCCAGAAAGCGAGCCGCCATCAAGAAGCGCGAGAAGCAGCTAGCCGAGTACCCCCCCCCCAAGCCCAACAAGTTCAGGCCCAGGAGGAACTCCAGCGAGAAGCAACTTTTCCAGCAGCTTTAGAGGCCGTTTCCTGCTCGAGGTGCTGGAGCGCCCACCGCAGGTTTGAGAGCGGCCAGCAGGACGATGCCGAATGCCCTCTCTGCGGCCAAGAGCACGGAGATGATTTACACAAATATTGGACGTGTCCTGAATTGGGAAGTCTCGACATCCCCGCCATCAATCGGACCCAGGGCTCCATTGATCGGGCAGTGGCCGAGTCCCCAATGAACCCCAGTCTCTGGTTCCGAGGAATCATCCCTGCCACGATCCTACGTCAAGTCCATGGGCACATTCTGGGACTAGATCAGGACACGATCCGAAAAGGAGTATTTGAACAGCATGCAGTCTATCAGTCCGATGACTGGCAGGTGGCAGCGACAGACGGCAGTGGAGGGCCTCACACGCAGGACCCGCGTATCAGAGTCTGTGGCTGGAGCGTATCTTTGTGGGCACACGACCTCACTTGGAAAGGAGCTATCCAGGGAGGGATCATCGGCCCGCAGACCGTGCCGCTGGCGGAGCTCGAGGCAGTCATTGCGTTGCTGGAGTCCACCCGCGGCCGCCTCATTATCGTGATTGACTGTGCGTATGTGATCAAGGGCTTCAACAGAGGCCCACGTTTTCGGCACCCCAAGAACCAGTTCACTTGGCAGAAGTTCTGGACCCAGGCCAAAAACCGACGGAACAGTACGATCTTCTACAAAGTGAAAAGCCATCCCACTGAAGAATAAGCCGCTCGAGAGCCTCCCTGGGCCCTACACCCCAATGCCCACGCAGACATACTCGCTGCGGAAGCAGCTCAGTGGCGTCAAGTTCCAGGGCCCCTCGTTCGGCACCTCCAAGGCACTGATATTCACGCCGATCTCATCAGGGATAGATTGGCAGCGGTTCAGAGTCACTACTGGAGCCACAAAGACCCCTTGGGCCTCGAGGAGGATGAGGATGTCAAGGAGAACCGTAGGAAAGTGAAGGTGGAGCGTAGCGTAGCAGCCTTGCAGGTTGAGCTGACTAGGACGCCCCACTCCCTCCTTTCTGCCCCTGTCCCTCCCCTTTTCCAGATCGCCTGCCATGTCTGTGGCAAGCAAGGTAGTGTTATCAAGGGAACTTCCAGGTGGCTTAAGACCCCCTGCGTCTCCCCAGGACCGCAAAACCGTTTTCACCCGTCCCACGGGCCTTTCATCAAGCAGTTGAATGGTGTCATTTGGTGCTCCCGATGCGGAGCCTGGACCATCCGTGCGGCCAAGAAATTCAGAGAGCCCTGTGCACCACCCACAGAAGGGGGCACCAAGGCTCTCCAGAAGCTTACCCAAGGTAAGCCACCGCCAGGCCTCAAAGCCTGGCCCGATGGGCCCACATGAGGTCCATCCACGGCTGCTCCCACGCGGGGAGACCAGGACAGCTGCGGAGGCGCGAGCGCGGGAGGAGGAGGAGAAGGAGGAGGAGGAGGAGGAGGAGGAGGAGGAGGAGGAGGAG